GAATACGAAGAGCGTTATAAGTTTATAAATAGACACACTGAGATTATTCATTGAGATATCTCGGCTTTCTTTAACAATTAAAAAAAAAAAAGATATTTCGGCCCTTTACTTTGAAACCAAAAATGAGTTCGCAGGTTTCATGCTGGGTATTGTTGGTAGTGATTGTTTTGCTGAAGTTTACCGTTGTGGCCGGAGGAGCGTACGACGATCAGACCAAGGTAATATATACATGTCTCAGACTCTCAATTTTAGGATTGTCATCAGTTTTCCAACACTTGTTTGATTAAATTACTTGAGACCAATAGTGGTCTTTGTCTGAATTGTTAGAGTTCTCTTACGTTGTAGCTTCTTTTGTTGTTTCTTCTTTAAACTCGTAGGAGAAATTTCTCCAATATTTCAAGTGGTTGTGTTCGGTTTTTTCCCATTGTTTTGTTCTATCGATCTTCGAGCTATCCTGATTAATTTTATATTCTCATGCATTTTATGATATTGCATTTGACGTATGTTTTGTTTCCGTTGTCATTTTAAGAATTTCTTCTCTCTTTCTCAAGTATTTTGACAATTTTCACTTGTTTTTTTTTCTTCTTTTTTGGAATTGGGTCTGCTTTTGTTCGCTACTGGTGTATGAGAAAAAAAGAGGCTTACTCATCTACCTTACTCCTATCCTGGCATGCTCGCATTTTCAATTAAGAAACCCCTTAATTTGGTCTCTTGTGAAATTGGAGATTTTTATGAAAATTAACAGGTTATAAATGTGTCTTCTTATTTTGAAAATTTAAAATACTTTTTTTTGGTGTCATTTTAAAAAGCTTTTACATTAAAAAAAAACCGTGTCTTAATTTTTTTCATAAAAAAAAACTGTTAATTTTTCATCCCTTTTGATATATAAAATTGTTTTCAATTCAATGTGATATAGCCCAAACTACTGAGTTGGGCCTCGCAGTTATATTAAATAGATTGGCCCATTAGCTTTAGGTCTTTTTTAACACTTGCTCGACAAGAAATAGAGCAAAACTCTATCTGTTACGTTTCTCTTTATCAAACAATGTTCAATTAGAAAGCAAGTGGTTGTTTCTCTCAATTACACCAATCTTCTTACACTTTCTTCATCTTCAACAATATGCATTACATATACATGTATAGGTCCACATTGTGTACCTTGGTGAAACAGAGCATGACGATCCGGAGCTTGAAACGGCGGTGCATCTGGGCATGCTAGAATCCTTGCTTGGAAGGTACCAATAAACCCCAAAAATTTAGTTAGCAAATGAACTGTTGTTGCAAATATAATTAAATTCGAAAAAATTAACGGGTTTTGTTTGTGGATGTTACAGCAAAAGAGATGCAAGCGAGTCCATGATCTATAGCTACCGACATGGCTTCTCAGGCTTTGCGGCCCATCTTACTGATTCTCAAGCCAAAAAAATTTCAGGTGTGTTTTAAGAAGCCATTATATTATAAGACCTCGTAGAGCATCCGCATTGGTGGTGTCTTTAAATAAACAAATATTAAAATCACACTCTCTCTTCCTTTTACTCAATTTTATACTTTCTCTTTCATCCTTTTACTCCACTTTTATTAATTTTATATTTAAACACACCCCAACTAAAAGATATTCTCTCTCCAAAAATGTCTTCTTATGTCTTCCTAAGACGCTCTCTCTCCAAAAATATCCATTATCTCCTTTTTTTTACTCAAATTTTATTAATTTTATATTTCAATACACCTCATTATTTCTATAAAAAACACTTTTTTTCTTCTTTTTACTCAAATTTTAATAATTTTATATTTAAAGTTACCTACAAAATTTTACCATTAATGCTCTTAGCTGGCTTGTTCGATGATTTTAGCAGTAGAGATTACAAGGCACATTATATTATAAGACCTCTTGATTGATTTATTTGATGGTTTTTTGTGTATATACAGAGCATCCGAGTGTAGTACAGGTGACGCCAAATAGCTACTACGAGCTGCAAACGACAAGAACATTCGATTACCTTGGGGTTTATCAAAGTAATCCAACAGGACTTCTCCGTCGGGCCAATTTGGGTGAGGACATCATTATTGGTGTCTTTGACTCGGGTAAGATTTTATAAATATAAGTTTTATAAAATCTGACATAGTAGTTTGAGATAACTTATAAATCTGTAAATGTGTATTGCAGGTGTGTGGCCAGAGTTGGAGTCGTTCAACGACCGAGAGCTAGGACCGATCCCGGCACGGTGGAAAGGGAGGTGCGTTGACGGTGAGAAGTTCGACTCGAAGAAGAATTGCAACAAGAAGCTGATAGGAACACGATATTACAACATGGACAGTCGTATATCCAAAACCGAGTTCATGTCCGCAAGAGAAAGCGATCCTCACGGGAGCCACGTGGCCTCCATAGCTGGAAGCTCCTTCGTTCCGAATGTTAGTAACCACGGGTTGGGAATCGGTACAATGAGAGGAGGGGCCCCCAACGCCCGTATCGCTATCTACAAAGTTTGTTGGCAAGGTAGCTGCTCGGATGCAGCCACTTTGAAGGCTATGGACGATGCCATTGCTGACGGAGTTGACTTGATGTCGTTATCCCTAGCCAAATCGATCCCTGTATTGACTGAAACCAGCAAACAAAATGGGATATCATATGGAGCATTCCACGCCATCTCAAAGGGAATTCCAGTGCTCTGTGCAGGGGGAAATTACGGGCCAAGTGCTTACACTATCAGTAATATAGCTCCGTGGATCATCACCGTAGCTGCTACGAGTCTTGACCGGTGGTTTCCTACGCCATTAACACTAGACAACAATGTGACCATATTGGTAAGGAAAACAAATAAACCAACTGTTTGTGTGTAATTGACTATTTTTTTTCTTATAAGAACATGTGCATGTGATCTAATCTATTACTTTGCAGGCACGGACACCATACAAGGGAAAGGAAATTCAAGGGGATCTTATGTTCGTCGAATGCGCAAATGAGATAACAAGTGCCACAAAGGATAAGGTGGTCCTAGTTTTCATGACTCGGTGTGACAATTTAGAAGAAACGCTCATAACTAAGGTTGCTGAGGCCGACTCCAAAGCTCTAATCATCGCCTCCAAAAGAGTGGATGCGATCTCGGTTGTCGAATTTAATCCCATAGTGATCCGTGTCGATTATGAACAGGGCACTGTCATAATGAAATACATTAGTTCCACCAGGTATACTTACAGATATCCACTCTAATTTACAAAGTCAATAATGTTATTTGATGTTTTGGGGTCCATTTTATCACAGCTTGCCCACCATAAAGATAAGCTCCGCAATCACGCTCATTGGGCCACTTATATCCACTAAGGTTGCTGACTTCTCCGGGAGAGGACCCAGTTCGTTATCTCCGTATGTTCTCAAGGTAACAAGTTAATATGCAAGTGTTCTTCTTTTCTAACAAGTCAACTTAATGTGTTTCTATATCTTAATCATACAAATGAAAATTTGCAGCCCGATATAGCAGCTCCAGGTGTGGCCATAGTGGCTGCTTGTAACCCACTAAAACCAGGCGCCGAGAGCGGATTCACTGCTGAGTCCGGAACTTCAATGTCTACACCTGTGGTTGCCGGATTGGTTGCTCTTCTCAGAGCTGTGCATCCTGATTGGTCACCTGCTGCACTTCGATCAGCTCTTGTGACTACAGGTAATTAATGCTTTTCACGAGTAAAGAACAATGTTTTTAGTAATATATTTGTTTACTTTTTTGTTGTTGTTTTGTTATAAAATATTATATCTTATACAAGAGACTTTTGAATCTGTTATGTTAAATGTAAATATGATCTAATGGAATGATTATTTTGGTGTAGCTTCTACAACAGATCCGTACGGAGAACCCATATTCGCCGAGGGATTGTCACAGAAACTTGCGGACCCGTTTGACTTTGGAGGAGGATTGGTCAACCCGGAAAAAGCATCTGATCCGGGTCTCGTTTACGACGCGGGCGCAGAAGACTATTTGCGTTTCTTATGTGCTTCCGGGTACGACGAGACATCTATCACCAAGATGGCGAGTAAAACTACACCATACCAATGTCCAAGTCCAAGACCCTCCATGTTAGATCTCAATTTGCCTTCCATCACCGTCCCATTCCTTAAAGGAGAGGTGACTGTCACTAGAACTGTCACTAACGTTGGACCCGTCTTCTCCTTCTACAAACTCATCGTTGAGCCTCCTTTCGGAGTCACAATAGACGTCGCACCCAACGTACTCGCCTTCAACACATATGTCAAGCAACTCAGCTTCAATGTCACGATCTCCACAACCCACCAAGCCAATTCAATCTACTATTTTGGAAGCTTGACTTGGACTGATTGCTCTCATCACAAAGTCACTATTCCCATATCAGTGAGGACGCAGAAGTTGATGTATTTCAACCACTGAGTTTGGTACTTCCTTTAGATTGTTAACTCGAAGTGTTCACTTGAGTAAAATCATATGATATAATGAAGTAAGATTATTATAAACTCTCTACCGGTCCACTTGAACTTTAAATTTAAGCACCGAATGTTTTACACTAAAATTAATCAAAACGGATGAATGTTATCAACATAAACTTTTCACACTAAATTGCATGCATCACATCATAATAAGGATTTTAAAACATAAAATTTAATTGTTCAATTGAATATTATGGAAGTTGTCGAATGATGTCTTACGTTACGTACACTGTAGTGGTACACTTTTTCCCCCTAAAATAAGTTCTATTAAAATACCAAACCTTCAAAACAGAGGCTATCACCAAATTACACCATGCTAATTGGTGTTTCCCCAACAAAAAGCTCTCGCAGCCATCATGGTCCATCTTGAGACACATACGACTGAAGCCCGATATCCCCTGTTACATTTGGGGGCTTCAATAAGAATGTCGTCCCATTACACTTGGTTTCTCACGTAAAATGCTATAACGGATCAACGTCAGTGATTATTTTCGGATCAAAGTTATTAATTAGTGATGTCCATTTGTTTAATTAAAACAAAATTTTGAAGACAAAAAGAAAAGAAAAAATGTACGGATCTATTAAACTCAAACCCGTTACTATTTTGACTATTCTCAAATATTCAGTCAACATTTGGATAGAGATATACATAGTAGAACGAAGACAGATTAAATAGTATGTTTTTTGGTCATCAGTTAAATAGTATGATATAAAAACAATGCCATCAATTTATTTTTATAATATTATGTTTCTTTTTTGTTTAATAAATTATTCAGAAGGAATTACAAGGTCTAGTGTATATTTCTGGATGAACAACGACAAATTAACTTACCACAAGGAGTAGTTTGGAAAATTTTATTCTTTTTCAAACAATGTTGTGCACATTCAAGCCAAAACTGAGTTCGATCTGGATGAATTAGTTCAGGTATCTCAGAAAAACTGTCGTGTGTAATCTCATCTTCTCTCTCAGAATCAATTTGAGGACTTTTTGCTAAATCAGGAAAATGTGACTTCTGATTTAAGATATGTTTCGCCGTAATATTTGATATACCTATAAAAGCATATCGAATAATATAATTAATATATTATAC